AAATAAAATATGAAATCACTATTGAAGAGAATTTAAAAGAGATAGACAGAGAAAAGGAGGAAGAAAGTGACATAATCAGTGTCTGATGCAGCATAAATATTTATCTCACAATGTGGAGCAGAATGAAAGAAACGTCAATGAAAATCCAAACTTACCTTTAACTCTTGACAAATTTCCAATATTCTAATCATGCTGTCAGGTTCAGTGTTGTGTACTTCTACAAATCCCCGCAAGACAAGACTAGTGTTCACATGCCAAAGTTGAAGTATCATACCAGCACCCATGGCATTTTTAATTATCATTGGAAAAACTGTGGAAGTCACATCATGCTGAAGGAGATTATAGACCGTCTGCAAGCATAGATGCAAAATTTATTAACCAAAAGTGAAAGATGCAAAAAAGAAACAGCACACAGCTTTATCACATATGTGATATTATAGACATGTACATTAACATGTGCCATCCCAAGAAGCAGGACTTCAGGGCAGTGTTTTAAGGGATACTCGAGCATTGATCGAACAAAGCTGGTGCGACCCCTTTCAGCTAGTTGACACAGCACATCTAGGAGGTCAAGACATAGCCAGGCATGATTTTCATTTCCAAGGTAAAGCTTATGGCCATGCACTGCATCTATATAGGCCTGCAAGATTGATCATTATTCCTACTGCAAATATAGTGACAAGAATAAGGCAAGACTAAATTTGCATAGATCTTACCAGCTGCCTCAAAGAATGGGCAAAGGTAAATACTTCTGGAGGTGCTGATACAGCATATTTTAGAAAAGATAGCTGACCTTCAATATTCTTCCACACAGAGCCACAAATGGCATGGAGAGGGAAGGGTTCCTGCAAAACTTCCAAGGATTAATTAAACAAACGAAAAATAATGACGAAAAAATCTAAAGCAATACGCATTTCTTGCAACTTGACACATGCTAAAATAAAATAATACCTGGCACGCATGTCGATATACAGACATGAAAAAGGAGAATGCTGCCTCATTAGGAATGTAGAACCCCTCGTGATCTAGGTTTTCAATAACTCGAATCCAGTTGGTACCAGGAACCTGTATTCAGCATGCATTACAAAAACAAAGAAAATATGTTTCTTCTAGAAAGAGCAATTAGTAAATTGAAAGACAATAAGAACTACAGAAAGCAAAACAACTATAACTCACCAGTTGCTTTATAGTTTTTATAAGAACATCAATGTTCCAGGAGCTCAATGGAGGTAAATCAGGTAAAGTGCTGCAACCGAGGGCCAGACTGAATGTTGAAAATGTGGTTTGGTTGTCCTCAAGCCCGACATAGGTGCTAGCAATTGTGCCAAGTATTCTTGATATAGTTATCTCTGTCAAAGGTGAGCAAAGAGATAAAATATCTTTGCAGTGTGCAACATCAACGGTGCAGCCATAACCTAGTTCCTTAATGATATCCCCCATGCTCATCTCCTTCTCCATTTCTGCTAAAAGAGCATCAAAATCATTTTCTCCAGATTCATTGAAGAAATCCATGTTCCTGCAGGGAAGAGAACGGGAAAAAAAAAAGACTTATCACAACATGATAAAAATACCAATGAACAGAGCAACATGCCACCAAAGCTCGCATGAATATGATTAACTGCAGGTTTAAAGGAGAAGGGGAAGAAGCCTGATATGCAAAAATCAGCACCTCAAGAAATTAGCCTCACGCAATTCATCAGAAAGTATTGGGTTTAAAATGAACTGCGCAACATCTTTTTCTTGAACTAGAGATAACATCTGCATAAAGGAATCTACGTGCTTTGAAAGGGCATCGGAGCACCGGAGGAACATAACTATATTCTGAATTTGCTCGGAAGAATCAACAGAGGCCGGATTGGAGTGCAATTCCTCGATCTGAGCCATACAGAAATTCTTCCCTAGAAAGATGCAAAAGCTTCACTTTCATCAATCTGGTCAACAGTGTCAAAGAATCCAACTATAACAAACCAATAGTACCAATAGTACATCCATTTAACACCCAATGCCCATTCAAATAATGCCACTTACCACACATTCTTATGTCAGGACTTTCAGAATCGAACAAAGCAAGACTAAGGCCAATTTTTTCAGACACCGATAACTGAATAGCTTTTGAGAAATTCTCCAGGAAATCCTCACTGATATCCATACTTCTCAGTGAATGACAGAAAACAGTACAAAAATTTGGCTTGTCCATGGCATGTCTAAAAATTGATGCTATAACTTGCTCAGATTGCAACTTCGAATCTGTCATGTGAGAATGCAAGCAATCCAAGCAGGTTTGCAGCACCAGAATGCTGCCCTCGATTCCATATTCAAAGAACTGCCAATATTAAACAGGCCATACCAATAAGTTATCCAGAAAATTGCATTAAATTGAAAAGAATCAAACCAAGCACCCATCCCAACCCGCTGGATATCCCTTTTCACAACATAACAGAAGTTTAAAAATCTCGACAAATTCACTCTTCATTATTAGATATGCCGCAAAACTAACATAATTTGAGACTGACTTGATTGACTTGATATATTGACAACGTTCTAGGGTTTTTTTTAAGACAAATCAACAGAAATCCTCGCATGTGAGTTAGCTCGTTTTCAAACAGCACCGAGCTAGCTAATCGAGTAAAGAAATAGTTACAACATGATCAGGCAATAAGTTAAAACGATAACAAAACTCCATATAATTGAATAAACGTACATTAAATCCAATGTTAACTTTTGCGTAATTTTAGGGTTTTTAGTGACCAGACGAATCTTGAGAAATGTAACACAAAAAACACCAAATTGGCGCATTTTAGCATGGAAAAGTTGATTGAGAAAGAAAAAACCTGGCAGAGCTCTCGAATAACTGAGTCGGCGTTGGCTTCAGTCACGGACCGGAGCAGGAAACGAACGTGAGTTGAGAGTGTCGTAGAAAGCTTCAGCATGGTGAGGGGAGACAGATCGAGAAGGTCTTCGGCGGACAGCGCCAGTAGAAGGCACTGAAAAAGAAAGAGACGGAGATTAAGGATGACACAGTGGGTATGGAGCTTTGAAGATTGGGAAGACCGATGAGAGAACCGTCGACAAAAGTTCTTGAATATATGGTAAGAGAAAGGACAATCGTTGTGTCTGGGTTACATGCGGGTCACGGTTCAATTTAAAGGTGTCAAAGTAAAAGCCCAAAATTTTGAGGCCTAAGACATGTTTAAAATAATACTAACATAATTTGATAATTTATGAAAATAAAAATCATAAATGTGGAGCTTTCAAGCATGTTTTTAGTGATAAATAATAAAATATATAGAAATTTAAATTTTTCAATAATTATATATAAAAATTAATTAAAACAATTATATAATAAATATTAAACAATACATGCATGGAAATATTCAATTACAATGCATGGAAATGATGATGTCTCATTTTTTATTTTATGAAATCAAAAAAGCTTATGTGTAAAAAATAATATTTTTTAGATAATTGAAGTTTATTTCAAAATCCAAAAAAGCAAATTAAAATTTTTATAAATGAAACAATAAAGGTGATCACAATATTAGCTAGTTTGGATAAAATCTATTTCATATAAATAACATAGTTTGCAGCTTAGCTATCATAGTAGAAATAAAATTAAATATGACATAATTATTAATAATATAATTTATTTGCCAGATGTTATGTGATAAAAAATTAAAAAAAATTATTAAATAAAATATCCAAATGTTACCTAATTTTTCATAAATTGTCAAATGCATAAGTTTTTTTAATTAAAAAAACTTCTTAAAAATAGTGAAAATATTATAAAAAATAATAACAAAAGAAGGAGAGTGCAAAGAAAATTAGAAAAGTATAAAATTAGGCATTTAGTAGAAATAAGCAAAAAAAAAAAAAAAAAAAGAGCATGATAGGAGAATTTCTTCATTGATAGTTTTTGTCCAATGGAGAAATGGTCTTCGGCTTTTTCTTTTATTCTTCCTTCTGTCTTTCATTTTATATCATAAAGACAAAATTGTATATTTAATTTAATTTTTATTTTGAGTTATTTTTTAAAATTTATGAAAGTATTTTATTAATTTAATATAATAAATAAATCTTATTATTTTCTAATGAATTAATTAATATAAAATTAAAAATTATTATATTACGAACTAATAAATTAAATAAATTTTATTAAATAATAATTATTATTTTATTAATTTTAATCATTTATTAATAAATTTATTATTTACCATAAAAATAAATTTTAAATTATTTAATCATTTTATAAATTTTAAATAATTTAAATTTTAATTTAATATATTTAATAATTATTTTTCATTATAATTTACTTTACTACTCTGGCTTTGTTTTATTTTAAAAAATATATTTTTATTATTAATTTTAATTTTATTATTATAATAATTAATCTCATATCAATCATAATTTTTAATCTCTTAAAACATCCAAATTAACTCTTAAGCTGAATTTATTCAATCGCGGCCATGTTTCGTCACAATGAAGTAACTTTTGAGCTAATCTCACTGTGATTTGTTGTTTGAAAAACAAGGCTCCAATACAATTGTGCCTATGTGGCACCAGTGAATGGCCAGTCCTGCCATGCTGGGAAGGCCACCATGTCCGTCCTTATCAATATATTTTTAGTATAATTTCATCTATATATTTAAAAGATTAAAATAAAAATAACCTTAGTGAATTTTAAAAAAATATTAGTTTTGATAAATTTTAATTATTAATTAAGTTTATAAATATTAAAATAATTTAAATTTTTTATTATATCATATTTTAATTTAATATTTTTAATAATTTTATTATTATATTTTATCTTATCTTAATTATTATATTTATATTTAAAAAATTATCTTAAAATTAATTGTAATTTTATTATTATAATACTTAATTAATTTTATCATATCATTATTTTTAATCACATCAAAATTACTTTTATTATTATTACCCTCGATAAAAGCGAGTATGAGAGTGGACCCGGGGAAGCAGGTTATTACTTATTATGACCCTATTAATTGTCGGATTCTTAAAACAAAATTTACGAAAGGTTTCCCAGACAGCCAAACAATCACCTCCCCATGGCTACGGTATCTGAACCACCACAAGATAAACCAAACCCTAATTCACTACCAGCACTGCCGCCGCCGCCGCTGCTGTCCAGTGATTTCTCTTCCAAAAGTGAATCGAAAGCTCTTGAACAAGCCACTTCATGGATCGATTACGCAGCGGAGCAAGCTCTTCTATACCAGAAGATCATCGAACAGAACATTAACGCCACAATTGAAGCTTCTAGATCTCGACTCTCAGAAATTCGCTCCACTTCCTCTGCTCATTTTAATCAAACCATTGTATGCTTCTCAAATTCTTTTTTTTTTTTGTCTATATTTTAAGCCGAGTTTAGGAGAAAGGAAATTTATGTAATTCCTTTAATTGCTAGGATTCACTTGAAGATGTCAAGCACCAAATTGGTGTTTACGAGGACATGGTATTTGGCAAAGTTAAGGGTCTGTTCCATCAATCGCTTCAATCCATGCACATTCTGTTTCTATCTGAGAGAATTAATTTTTAGTTTTGAAGGCTTTGAGGTTTGACAATTTTGTTGCAGAGGGGATTAACATTGCAGCTTCGCATCCATTGATCACAGGTGGTGCTGCTGTTGGCTTGGGATTTCTGGTGCTGAAAAGTATGGTTCTATAATATTTGTAGGTAGCTTTTGCATTCCTAGGTTGTATATGTAACAGCAGCATCGGTTAAATTCATCTCTATATGTTTTTGTATATAACGAAATTGCTGCTACTATGTAATTATACGCGCTAATGTATAGGCATAACTTGTTATTCATTGAAACTAGCTCTTTCTGACGATGTTGAGGTGCTGCTTTGCCATAACTGATTTTAATGACTAGTTTAAATTTTCTAGAATAGTGGAAGAATCTTGATTAAAGTTGTTGCTTAGATAACTTGAAGGTTTATGCTTCCTAGCCTTGCAAGTGCTAAGTTTGCAATTGCTTAGATATCCTTATCACTTAAGTTGTTTTAACATGGATTTAGAGACTTAATTGATATTGTTTCATTTACTTGCAATGTGCAGGGCCAAGACGTTTAATATATTACAAGACTTTGCGTCTTTTTAACAGCGAAGAGGTGGGTTGAATATAGTTTCTGTATATGTTCTGATTGATGGAGCTCCCTTTCTATCCTTGCTACCTGGTTTTGTTGGTGTGTTTGTTTGGCTTATAGATACATAAACTCGATTTGGATTTTAGAAGATGATATGAATGAGATTTCAAACTGCATGAAAAGATTTTATCCTATTTATCCTACCCAGGACATTGGATTGTGTAATTCTGTATAGACTCCTTTTTCACAAAAGAGTGAATCTCATAACAGCACCATCATCTTCAGCTCTTTGCTTTACCTGAGAGTTTGATGGATTACCTACTCATTATTATGAAAATAAAGCATCTTCCCTGTTTAAAACACTATCATTTACCTTGTACTATTTGTTGTTGCAGTCCTTGCTTTCCAAAGCTGATATTAGAGTAAAGAAGCTGAGACAGTCAATTGACCGCCTTAAGGCTGAAAGTGAGAAGTTGGAGGTAACACTTTCCCTAGTGGATCTAATTGATGACAAATATTGAAAAATATTCTATCATCATGTGCTTGTGTCATTTCATGCTTTAATTATTTTGGACCGCTGTTTCTGTATAGTCTATAGTTTATACATGTGTGTTTGTCTATGGAAGATAACTTTTTCCCTGGGCGTTTAAGCTGATTCTAGAATACTTTTGTGTAAACTCATAAGTCAACTTTTTTTCTTTATTTAATAATAATATAAATGTGAAAATGGAATGTTATCTGAATTCTCTGTGATTAATAATGAAAACAGAGAATTCACTGTGTCCAATGATATGTACTTGAGCTGTTTTAAATAGCAGTGTCAGTTGTGTGGTCAAGGAAAATTGGTTTATCCTCAGTAATGTAAAATTTTTAATTGCGGAATTGATTTTAATACAGTTTGCATTCAACAAAATGTTCATTTAGTGATGCCTATAGCTAATTGAAAAGTTTATTTTTCTTAATATACCTCCTGGAAGTACATTGACATCTGGTTCCTATTCTTTCATAGCTACTAATATGAAAAAAAAAATTTACATATGCATGCTACTCAGAAATTATAAGTTAATCATTGCTTTGTATCAACTTAAATGCTTTAATCAAGCATTTTGTTAAATATTTTTCATAATCTGCTATTGATGTTTCCAGCGGAGTGCTTCAGTAGCTGAAGAAGAGCTGATCCGTGGCAGGACAAAACTCAGGTTTGAGATTTCAAATGAAGTGCAGTGGAATATTAACTTCTTCTTGAGGCTAATTTTTTTCCATCTGAACATATTCAATATTCTTTCAGACAAGCAGGCAAGCAGATCCAAAGTGTGATTCACTCAGCTTACAAGATCGAAAGACAAGCAGCAGGTATTCAGTTCTTTCTCTCAATTAGGTGCATTGAACATCTCAGCATTTATGTGGCTGAGATAACACCCACATTTTCTGTTGCATCAGGATTAAAAGATGTCCTTGGAGAACTTCCAAGAAGAGAAGCATCTCGATTTAGATCGCAGGTAAGTTCTCTGAATATTAGTATATGGACTTTGTTTTTTAAGATATATGATAGTGCTATAATGAAATTGGCTATGTTCCTCTATTCCTATACCTGTAATTGCATAGAACGTAAACTTGGATGAGACTGTTGTTTTCCATGTTGCTTATATGGAATCATTAATTTGGCAGGTTTCAAAACTTGCTTCTGAGGCTAAGCAAGAACGAAATGCTTTGGCAGAGGAGGTTTCGAAAATTAGTAATCATGGAATTGCAGTTTGAGGATTCTCGTATCTGTGCTACATTGTTGCATCTGATCGAGTTTACAGGTCACAGTTTCCATGATTAACTCATAAAACATTTCTGGAGATTACATTTTGGCTGGAGGTTCTACCATTGCATTCAAATTTTACTTTTGAGCATGATGCGTGCAAATGTGATGTTTCCTGGTCAAGGGACATATAGAAATAAGCAAAAGTACAACATGAATTTTAGTTTTCCAATTTTAAGCCCTTGTTTTCAGAATTTTCTGGTTCAGAAGGTTGATTTCAAGGCCTCTAGTTTGGCCTAATCTGTGGAAAATTTCTAATGCTAGGAATTCAGGACGATTTTTTTTCATTAAAAATAAAAAACAAAAAAACAGCATGAATCAGATAAACCGCTTTATCTTTTATTGCATGTTTCTCGTATACGTTTTAGTTGGTACTTACACCACTGGCTCATGGTTTTCAATTTCTCTTTGTAAATGGTAAAACAGACGGAAAGATAGTAGCCATCTGTTGAGATGAACCATGTTTTCTTTGATTGGCACTTTCGAAGTTGGGATCAATCATTACCATGTTGAATTATTAGTGAACAAGAAAAATAAAAAAATACAAAAACTATTGGTTGGGATCAGAATAGCGGATGGCTTTTATCTCAAAATCAGGATTTTTCGGGCTACTGATTTTTGAATTATAGTAAAATATTTAATAAGATATTTAAATTATAAAATTTTTTAATGTGATATTTGAATTATGAATTTATTAATTAATATCATATTAATTTTTAACATAGATAGCTTTAAATGATGATATGTTATACACAAATTATTTTTTAAATATTATATTAATTAATAAATTTATAATTTATATACTATATTAAAGATTTTTAAAATTTAAATATTACATTAAATATTTTATTAAAGTTCAAAGATCATTCGTAGCATTATCCCTTGGCCAAACTACAATGTGATATGTCCCAATCTCAAACTACAATGTTGGAAAATAGCGGCCACTTAGTTATTAGAATTAAGGATCTGGTCTAAAAATGCCTGCGAGAAGGATAATTACTGATATTCCTGATCACCTACAAGAGGGAACCAACCAAACAGGTCTCCCTCTTCAATAAAATAAATAAATAACTTAAACAGTAGCTATGGACATTTTAAGACATACGTACAAGGGATGATCTCTGGATCTATCTCATCTTGGAGAGACAGCTCATGAGTTAATGATCCCCCTGCAACAAGGTCAAGTTCTGGACCAATAGCAGGGTACCCCAGCAAATGCATACATGAAAAATAAAATTCCAAGTTGTTCCTTTTGTTAGATATTGATTATATTGGTGACCTGAGACCAAAAACCAAGAATTTTTTATTAAGTTTGTAACCTGAATACAATTTTAAATTTACATAAAAAAACTTCGATATTGATCAATTAACAATCAAAACTATATTAATTAGTATGAATAAAGTGCAAGAATGAGAATGTTTATGAGAAAGCATACCTTTATGGTAATAGTCGGATTTAGGGTTTATTATCACTTAATGTCGTGTATTTACCTCCTCATCTTAACCCATATTTGAAAATTATTTTCCTAATCCTTCCTCCATGATCCAACCCAACATCGAGGGCCTGAACCCCTCTTTTCTTCTCTCATTCTTTTTCCTTTTTTTTTTCTCTACTTTTTAAACTTTTTTGAGACTTCAATTTAAAATTTTCTCAAGTTAGAATCTTATGAAAAACAGTTGGGTTTATTGAATTTAAAGGGTTATTTCTCATCATATAGTTTTATATCACGTATATATATGTTTTCCCTCTATCCCTCGTGCCCGTACCTCTCAACACCAGCACCAACTTTTTTTCATGACCTGATTGGCAAAGATGGTCCAGTGTCCAGTGAGACTGTCGGCTTTTGTGGCAAGCTGGTGAAACCCATTTAGGCACTTGTCTAGAAGTAGTAACTTGAGCAATTAAATATGCAATGATCAACCTGCTCTCTGATAAAACAATGGGTTGAATTGAATTTAATGTATGAAAAAAAATTTCACCACATATTTTGATCATATATATAAGGGTGGTAGATCGCACGACTCCACACTGTTCGAATGAACTCCTATCGTTTGAGTACTGGGTAGCTAGCCAAATAGGTAGATAGTACCGATTCATATGAAGTGCAAAGTTTTCGTAGAATCTGGGTTGGATCCCAGCTTTCACTCAGCCAGATCTATGAGGCCCACAGACAATTGTGATTCACGTGTAATGAATGGTGCATGGGACCGGATGTTTTCAGTTCATGAAAACAAGTGTACGAGTCAATTTGGATGGTCGGTACGATAGGCCCACCAAAAGAAACCATTTTTTTCTTTTCAAGTTAAAAGAAAGCAACTTTTATTGCAAAATGGTACGTCTCTGGTTTCTCTGCAAAATGGTGGTAAGGGTGTAGTTCTGTACCCAAGGGGTTTCCAGTACGGAATAAATCCCCCGACATGTATAGGCAAGGGTGGTGGCTGTTGGGCTTGTGGGCACGTCATGATTCATGTGTGAAAAGAAAGAAAAGTGCCAAATTTAGAGGGGGAATTTTGTGTGGGGTTCCATTGCTTCTTAGCCTTACGATGCTGGTCCCCTTTCGCTCCTGAATAGGTGTCAACTTCGACTTGACACTGATGCACAGCCACCCTTGGTTTTCATAGATTTTGCTGCCAGGTTACGTTATGTCGGCGACCTCATGTTCAGACAGCCAGCCTCGTTTATAATTAACAATGCGGGTTTTTAAATTTTTCTCTACAACCATAAGTTAAGGTGCAACTTTCGCTTTTCTTGTATTATATGGGATAGTTTCTGCAAGGAAAAATTAAGATTAAAAGTGAAGTTGAGGTTGGCCAAAAGGAAAAAGATTGGCGTTCCAGCAGGAAAGGCAAATTAATGAAGAGTTCTAGCGTAGCATGCATCTATTATAACATGGAATATGATGCTACAAAGATGTTGACCTAACCCGCTGTATCAGTCTTTTCATTACGTAGGGTATTATTATATCAAATTGAGTGGCATAGATTGATTAAAATGGCACTTGAAAGTGGCTAATTGCCTATTGAAACAGCCAAAATACCCAATTCCCACACGTAATTCATATTGCATAAAACAGTCAAGTTTGTACTTTCCTCAGAACCTTCAACTTGTGTCCACACATGACATGAAGATGACTTTTAACAACTTACTTTGTTCGATTTGGATGTTTTCAGCTTTTCCTAAACTTGTAATCATGCAGCTCATCACTCATCATTCAAATTTGAATATTCTAACCCTGGGAGAAGCTTAGAAGTCAATTGGGTTCTGCCACCTCAACTGTGAACTATCAACAGGTTTCTCCAGGAGCAGGAGCAAGTGATGAAGATATACAAAGTGGAGAGTAAATTAATTAGCTGGAAGTGTGATACGTGGATGTAGAGCACCGAAAGATATCTGAGTAAAACAGACTGGAAAATGATCCCAATTATGGAATTCTGGAGCAGACATTACCAATGATCCATGGTTTTAGCCTGTAGGGCGCAAGCACGAGCCGTTAAAAGAGCTGTTTTTCTTTTGGGTAACACTTGACCTACACTAGACTAAAAGTTGCCGGGTCCTGCTGCCTTCCGACATCAACATAGCCACCCATAGCCTTATAATTTGATTTTAGCATTACGTCTCTGCTCAGTGGCCACTGCTCCCTCATTCTCAGTCTCAAACCAGAATCGCTTCGTCAAGTAACAAATACTAGCTATTAGCCATGGGGCCCTATCACTGCCTTGAAATAGAGCTGCTTTCAATACTCTTGCCATTCACGTGTATGGTGCAAGTAGTCGTATCTTTTTTTCCTTTTTATACGAGACCCGAGCTGATGGTCTATTTCTCACATCATTATTCTACCAAACAAATTAGAAAAAAAATCAGAAAATATTACTACGGGAGTACTCGAGGTCATATGATCATGAAGAAATTAAAAGAAAAAGATAGTTAGCCACAAATGACGTCCTTGTTACGTTACATTATGGGTGGAAGTTGCAGTCCAATAATGTCTATTTATCTTAACTAGTTTGACAGTTGAAAGACTTCTAATGGCTTCTTACATCATCCAAATCCGAGTAGCCTAAACACTTAAATTAAGTTAGATTCGAATCTACATCACTGTGATCATGATTCATGACAATGATTGAAGCAGTTCCTGCAGATAATTGGTAAAACAAATTCTGGATATGGACATTTTTACTGGGACCCTATAAGTTTTTTCTTCAAAAAGGCAGTTCCATCTCATTTTCTAATTTCTTTCTTTTCTTCAGCCTGATTTCTCGAGTTAAAGATCAGGAAAAGAGAGGATATATGGTGTTTATTGAAACTAGATATATAGCAATTGGTACCCACTACATAAAATTGACAAGCCTAGTATTCTATTTCCGATATTCATCGATGTATATATGATTAATGAAAATTGACAAGCCTAGCTATATCTAAAGATTGGTGAAGATGGATGGCAACATCTTGAAGGAAAGGATAAATTAAAAAAAATTTTGTATAGTTCAGTTTGTTAATTAATAATGATGGTGGAGTGCTTAGTTTGGGAAAAAGGTAAGTAATTCTGGTAAAAGCTAGTTTGAATATGAGGTATATATGAATCATCTAATTCACCTTGCCTAATCCTAAAACCATGATTAGCCGTAGCTTTGCCAACCCTTCCTTAATTAGCCTCTTGCTTTCAGCACACCCACAATCAGGCCATAGTCATGACCACCATATAACAACATCAGCCTATTATAGTTACCTAGTTAATTATTTACATAGATTTCATTTTTCTCAAATTTCGTATTATATATATGAGAAGAAAAACACTTACATTAATGTAATTTTTACAAATTTTTAAAAAATTTTGGATCAAATTACTAAATTTAAAAATATTATTATAATTCAAATGATCATGAATTTAATTTTGATTCAAAGGTCTCAAAAAATGTAAGAAATACACTAATATAAGAGAGATCCCTACTCCATATAGTATATAAAAAAAAAAAGGTAACCAACAACTAATCTGTTGATAGAATATTGTTGGACTTTTAAATATTAATTTCAGTGATCATAATTTAAATTCTAACAATTTTAAATATAAAAAATTTATAAAAAATGTTTATTAATAATGAATTAAAGGCAACCCATTAAAATTATGATAAATGGGATAGGATTGCCTTTCATTATTTAGTTACTTAAACTTCAAAATTTTCACATAATATATATTTTAAAAAAGAAACTTAATATCCCATAATATCTTTGGTTCGCTTCAGATTGAGATATTCAAAACCAAATTACTTTTATTTTTATCTGAATCAAAGCATTAATTCTTAATCTTATCACGAGTTGTAATTATTTTATGAAATGTCAAAGTACAAATCAAAATATAGTAAGACTTTTTTCCTTTTTTGCACAAGCCGAGGCTAAATTCTACCAAGAAGTGGACAGTTGAAGTGGATGATTACCTGGCTGCGCCATTGGAGAAAAATAGAAAAAAAAATGCTAAAAAGTGACCCAAGATCTAAACATTGACATCCTGAAAACCAAGTCTACCAAATGATGATGGAACTATGAAATCCATTAGAAAATTATTGAAAACTTATCCAAAATCTCGGCTTTGACATCTCTTAAAAGCCAAGTCCACACTCCACAAGTGTTGATGGAACTTGAGATTTGGTTCTTGATATATCACTATTATTTTAATTTTTTTCAACATGGTGTATGAAGTTTATCTTTCCATGCCCTGAAAATTATTATTTCAATAATAATGACTTCCAACCATATAATATTTCAGACTTAATCTCATGATTGTCATCCATGATCAAATATACAGCGAAGACTTATAATTCAACTATATATAGTTCTTGTATTGCTTAAGGGGTGTGCATAAGGATAAACTTTCAAATCAGATAAGTTATTTCGACTTCGAAATCATGATTAAATAGTGTTAACAAAAGATTATTAATAATGTTTTAATTTGAAATTTCTTAATTCTTTTTTGTTAAGCATTCAATTTAATATAAGATTATAAAATATTATATATTTATTAGATGTAGTACAATATCATATTAACAAACCTCCATCACGTATAAACAGATATAAAAAAAATTTATTATGTGATAAATTTAAAAATAACAAAAAAAATCATAATTCTGATATCATGTTTAATATTAATTTTAAAATTAATTAATTTTAAGTTAAATACTTAATATTTTTATATATAAATGAACTAAACTGATTAAACCAACTATTCATTGATCAAAATAATTTTAATTGCAACAAGATAAGTTAAATTTGAACTCGGAGATTGTCTCTTAGCAAATATCCCATCTCGTATTACAATTTGTTTTGATCATTAAGAAGGCGAATGACTCCCAAAATTAATTAAATAAAAAATTGGACACTAGTGTGGAAGACAAAATTAGGTTTGTGATCTTACATATTATCATTAATTAATTTCTACATATATTATTTAGTTGACCAAAGACTAACAAAATTTTGTGCAAGCGTCTGCTTATTAAAAGAAAAAAAAATCGTCACTTTAGCAATTTAATATGGACATAATCAATCACAAAATCATTCCTTCCACCAAATTCTAATGCTTGGTAGTATAACTCAAACAATTTTAAGGGCTGCGTTTTATTCTTTTGAGGAAAAAAAAAATAAAAATGCTGCTTTCTTGGCTCATGTCAATTTGCTTAAACAAAAAGCAGATGTAAAGCGCCCTTTGGCCCACGTGACGCTTATCAACTTAATGGACTATTCTGTGTTGTTACTCATACATTACATGCATCCCTACTTCTCTTCTGACCGTCCGATTAACAGAATCCTTTCCTTTTTGATGGGATTGTTGGGGATGCTTGACGTTGACTGAATGGAGTATTTAGGCTGTTCATTTCGTAAGTTAGGATGGCACCTTTATCCCTGTGTGTTTTAGATTTTAGACCGTAATGGACTGTTAGGATGTGAAATTGAACCCTTTTTCTGGTTCTAATTAATAACAATTGACGGTTAAGATGTGTGAATGTAGAGAAGCTTTGTTGAGGTGCGGAGCATAGTGTGGAAGCACGGAGGGGCTGCTTTCCACTTCGACTATGGTACTGTGGGCTTCGTTTAAAGGTTGATAAACAGTAATAATGTATTTGGGATTTCTCAACCATCCCCAAATTCCCCACCGGAATATTTTTAATGACCGTTGTGTCCCACGCTTGTTAACAAGAAGAAGAAGAAGGCAGCAGCTGAATCAAGTTGACCAAGTTTTCCTTTCTCTTTCACTGTGTCCAATAAATGCTAGATGCCAACCCACTCTCTTCACGTACGCGTGGAGACTGCAGTTGTTCAAAACTAGGCAACATTGTAATTCAACAAAACACGTGTTTTTTGAAAACCTAGGAAGGTGTTGTTAGGAGGGACGGGGAGCGTGGGGTGGAAGCTCATAACTTGCCAATTATATAATGGCAAAGAGGAAAAAGAACCATAAAAGGACAAAAGATGGGAAAAAGAATAGGTAAAAAAATAAAGAGACCAAAAGCAAAGCCGAACCCAGGACATAACTGTCATTTTCGGGACATAAATTTTAAGGTTCACAACTCTTCTCTCTCTAACTGAAAACGACTGCAAGCAACCTGTGGTCTACCTGTGAATAAATAAATTTATTTCTTTTTTTTGTAAATAAAAAAGTAAAAAATGTATGGGATTTATACACCGACTATGAAACCATTACTCTTTCTTTATATATAGATATGGTTCTCTAGTAGTTATCTCTCTTTCTTGGGCTTTTTCTCTTCAATCGAATCTTCTTCTTCTTCTTTTTATTCTCTTATTAGTTTTCAGCATAATTCAACGCCTTCAGTAATGGTGGATCTTCAAACTGTTTGCTGCATGTGCGGCGACGTTGGTTTCCCTGACAAACTCTTCCGCTGCAACAAATGCCTCCACCGCTTTCAACACTCGTATGGATTTTTCTCATTTCACCAACATCATAATCCATTCATCCATATATAGCCCCTCCCATCATCATCATCACCATCCACATGTATGCATATATCTCATCATCATCATCATCATCAAAATCATGCGGCTTGATAGCTACCCTCAACTGAATTTTTCTTATCATCATCACAGGTAGATAACTGGATACCCATCTTCACCAAGCACACCACCCAACTACCACCACCAAACATCATGGTTTCGTAATAGCCGAAGTAAACATCCTAGGCTACCATCATCATCATGCTGTAATAATCTTCTTTTTAAAGAATATATAAATATGTTAATGTTCATTATACCCATATGTTTTTTTCTTCTTATATTTTATGGCTTGAAACTTAAACGATTTCTTGATTCTGGCAGGTATTGCAGTAACTACTACGGCGAGTTAGCAGAGCCAATTGAACTGTGTGATTGGTGCCAGAGTGAAGAAAGAAACTCAAGGCACGGAAGCTCTTCAAAGAAATCATCAGCTGGAAACGAAACAGGAATTATAAACCGATCCGAGTATTCGGGTGACAAAATCAAGCAACACGATCGAGACGACAGTGTTGATCAGAAAGGCAAGAGCAGTGGGACGCCTTCTCCAAGGCCTACGACACGCAGGTACAAGCTTCTCAAGGATGTGATGTGCTAAAAAAAGACTCGAAAAAGAAAAAAAAAAGAATTTGTGTCAAGAAAACTTTCTGTGTTGATAGTAGCAGAAAATGTTTATAAGCAGTTATCCAGTGATTTCTTTTGCTGGTTATGGATGAATATTTCACTTTGTCAGTCAGTTGTTAATAAAAAATAATGTAAACTTCAATCAAATTGGATTGGTGGCACAGGTTTTTAAGCTTTTCTCTTTTATCCGTTGTCTGCCCCCATTTGTCCTAATGCTAGTTTTGATACGCCAAAGCTTGTAAGATGAAGAAAATTCTTGATGAATGACGGATGAGATATAGGTTTCGTGCATGAAAAATGTTGGATTAGCTAATTAAAATATACTAATCCATCTGACTGACATAACAAAGTTTGAAAACTTATTCAAGTCCGGTTGGTCCCTGAGGAAATACATAGTGAAGTTTTATTTTAGGCTTTATGCCGGATCAGCGACCTAACCAGCTCCTTTGGATAAGCATCAGAGTGATTATCTAGCTAGGGTTTGTTTCGTCACAACAACGTTTAGCGGGAGGAGTTGCACCTTCATTTCCTTTCACTTACATTTTATTAAACGAATCATGTTATTTTCAACTAAAATTTTATATTTTATTGCAACTGATTGTGTTAAAAAAAATCTGTAGCATCTTTTATGCATATTTTTACTGTAAGAAATAGTTTGTAATATTTATTGTAGTATAAAATTTTTTGTTTTTATACAAATTGTTGTAAGATACGACAAATAATAGTGTTGTAAAAATATTAACAATAATTATATATTTTTTTACTATAAAATGTAATTTGTACTTATTTTCTTTAATGCAATATTTATGCTGTGAAAAAAATATATTTTATAATATTTATAGTAATGATTTTAAAAATTTTTATTACTAAAGATAAAATTTCTCGCAATGTTTGTTGAGTCGCCTAAGGAGAATTGAATGCAATTAATTGGTTGCCTTTCGGCCGAAGAATTCATACTACCTAAAGCTGCAAAGTTTTACAGATTCATTGAAGGCCTTTAATTGCTAGGCCCTCCTTTATTATTATGAGAAAAAAAAGGAAAAAATTGCCTGCAAAATGGGTATTTTATGGTAGTACTATAGTAGTATATTGTTAAAACAAAAAAAATATACATATATACATATATATATATATATATGTCAACACGCCATTCCGTGAAGAAGAGAAAATTATGTTAAATGTTTTGACTTGGGCTTGAGCTAGACCAACTTGTCGAGACAGGAGAGAACAGAGGAAGAGTATATTTCTTTCTACGAGATAGTGGCTCCTAGGCCATTCATTCAAGTCATTAGCTGCTGATATTTCTTACATGCTTGGAGTGCAGTCTTGACCCGTAGTTGTATGAAATATATATATATATATATATAGATATATCCAAAGTACACTAGCATATAAAGTCTTCTTCACTGTATCTTTCTTATTGGGGCTCTTGAAGTGAAAATGAACCCAAACCCCTTTTCTTTTCTTTTATTACCCTTTTTTTCTTACCCTCAGTTGAGGGCACCCTTGGATTCCTTAATGATTTCGTTACCAACTCTTCTCTCTCATTTTTTTTTCATCCTCTTCTACTTCTTCTTTTACTTTCTCTTCCACAAGTTTGGTCTGACCTCTTCATGTGAACCTGATTTGAAGAAGAAGGAAAGTCACCATAGACAAAACAATTCATCTATTAATAAAAATCTTAGCGATCTACCAAAAAAAAAAAAAAGACAAAACAATCATGACCCAATTTTCTATCCGTCGATACTATTCCCTTTCTTTCCAAACAATCATGAAATGAATCACATGGTCGCTGCTTCGCCTTGCTCTCTCCTCCACCCTCCATTATCTAACTCACAAGCAAGTCTTTGGTATCCTAGGATCTTTGCAGATTAACATGCATATGTCGGTTATCTGGGTATCTTAAAGCATATCTTTACAATTAGTTTTCATTCATTTAAAAAGAAAGTTGTCCTTTGGGGTTGCATGTGAGCACACATATCAAGTTCAATTTTTCTTAGCCTTTTTTAGGGTTTGAATTTTTATTTTATGTCTCTGATAAAATTTCAAGAATCTGATTTTGTACTCGGATCACATGTTATTTTCTTAGGGTTCCCTCTTTCTACGTTCTTTATCAACTTATTGCGCATGATTAAATGCTGAGCAGCTTTAAATCATTGAAGAGCTGAATTCCCTTTTAGGTTTTGGTCATTATATCTTCCATGACAATTTTATAAATGGCGATAGTATTTGAATTGATGATTTGTACGAAGCACAAACTAGCTTGAAATGACTTCTCAAAAAAAAAAAAAAAAAACTAGCTTGAAATGAATGATTCTAAGAATCACCCAGCATGAAGATTCTAGACGATCGATCGATGTCTAATTTTGTCGTACCGATTCCCTATCTCCAAACCTAGACGAAATTCTAGTAAGAGTCGAAAGTGAGAACAACAATTTGCCTTGTTTCTTCCATCTTTATTGATTAACTCATTATATACGTTGGGTGAACTGTTAATTTCGCCCAAATAGTAAAGTTCGTGGCCTCAAATTGCGCATAATATTCACAGCATTACACATGTACAGTGTTGTGATTTAACACATGGATGCCATTAACATCGAAGTTGTCAACTATAAGCACAACAATTACTATAAAAATCAAAGGCAACCATTATGAATTACATATCGTGTAATTCTCTGTTTGCTTCACTAAATTATTAATTTTTGTACAACTTCGATAAACATGAGGATGATTATTAATTATAATGATGATAATAACCGTTGTTTTTATATTGTTTAACTTGCAATATAAAAATGTACATTAATCAAGGTTTATTTTTTTAAATGTACAATGGCCAACGTTATTAATTAATTTAATAACTGTATTTTGTTTCTACATTTATCATTTTCTGTATTTTTATTAATCCTTAGTGTTTCCTGCTTGGATGGGTTAACTTAGCTACCCTGGTAGTATATATAATTTATTGACATGATAGATTAATATATGGGGAAAATTTTCTGTTAAATATATACAGACACTTCAAATGTAAAACAGCAAAATTAACTTTTAACAGCCTCCAATCTTGAGATCTTTTGCCACTTCTCGATCTTTTTAATTGATGTGATTTTGATTTACTTTTTGTTTGAGGTGAATAGAGGTGGTTCGTGAGCAGTTCCCAGCAGTGAGCCAAAGAATCCGACAAATATGAACAAAGTAGCAATGAAATCTTATTGAAACTTTTAGAAAGAGGAGGGAAAATTAAAAAAAAAAAATCTTTGCCTTAAATGGGTCGATGGGCATTACCTGGCATCAGTAAGCCTTTTGGTCTTGTGTGTTGCCAAATGCAAACAAAAGAAACATCACAATGCTGTTGGACTGAACTTGTTCAGAGTGGGTTTCCTGAGTGTTTGTCGGGTTAATTTGTTTGTTATGGGTTTAAAGCGTAGAGTTCTCTTTTGTTTCATTTGGTTTAATTTTTCCGACATATATACTTATGGTCTGGTCAATGTTGTATAAATCGTATGCATAATTACATATATGTATTAGATATACTCATGTAGAGAAAATGAATATTAGAAAATATGAAGTCAAGTATGGGTCCCAACTACCAACTCTACTGTCATTTACTGCTTTGATAGTTTCATACCCTAAAATTCTATTTGTGAACGCTCAACTGTCAAAGAATTTGTTTAAGATGGAATCGCAGCCCTACAGCAGGGAAGCCACCGGAATCAAGGCCGCCAATGCTGATCACATCGCTGAAGACTTCACTTTGACAATGACATTTGACTTGTTTGACAAATTATTAAGGATAGGGTCGTGACTCTCGTGAGTAATCTTTTATTATTAGCATTACTTATTTTTTCTTTAATTTTCCGCTCACGACTTATGAGTTATGTCAAATTCAATTGTGGGACTTTTTTTTGCCACGTCATTCTATTAAGACATGTAACAAAATAATTGCATAGTATATATGAAGATGAATAGTTTGGAGGATCTAAATAACCGATGGTATACATGAATATTTTTTTTTAATTTAATTGTAATAATCACTTTTACATCGTGTTAAAATGATACATAAAAGAATATGCTATCCTCTTACAGCGTCCTCCTAAGTATAGTTGAGCTAAGACTATCAATATTAAGTAGAAAACCGAAAAAAAAAAGGTCAAAATTCTGCTCCGTTTGATTTCGGAATCTCCCATATGACTGCAAAAGTATCCTATATCAAGGGTCTGGGGTGCTCCTACCATGGAACAGAGATCACAGAATCAAAACCCAATCACCTTCTAAATTAAAAAAAAAAAAAAAAAAAAAAAACAAAGAAGAAAATTTACATGCAGAAGAAGCAAGCTGCCAAGAGCATCGACATGGCCCATAAAGGTGAATCAAAACTCAAATTAGCGGCTTGATTTGCTGAAGTGTCAGATTCCAACAAAGAACCAAATGTAAAATTAGGGTTTGATCCATAAAGAGATTGGACTCCTTCTATATCATCAACCGATAAATCGACTTTCTTTTCTCTAGGTTTCAAGCTTGGATACATAACAGCTCCTTTAACTGGACTATGAGCTAACCCTAACAAATGCCCGATTTCATGAACTGCCACTGATTCTAAATCAATAGCTACCTTCGATTTCTCCACTCCAAAATCAATGGCCCATGTCTCAGCTGCATCGAGATGAAACTTCCCGCTTTCAGGAGAAAACGAGTGGGCCAGGATCCCTAACACCCCATCAAACGGCTCTCCATCGCCATGATCGCCAGTGTAAAATCCTATTTTGATATCAGCAAAGCCATAATCATCTGTTTCTACAAAACTGACAGGAATAACCGATGCCCATTTCGAGAAAGCTCGTTTAAAGGTTTTCTTTATATCAGATAAACTCAAGTAATGGATCAAATTGTCAGGGGAAAATCCATACGTTAGAGTCATCGGAATCCGACGTGCCCATCGAGGTTTCCCAGGAAAATATACATAGTTTTTTGTTGCATGCAACGTAGGAGAAAGTTCTGAGTCGGGAACACCACATCTAGGAGCTAAAATTTGAGACAGCGTATCATAATCGAGCTTACCGGTAACTTGAAGGCCAAGCTTTGTTTGAAAATGAATGATAGCTGATTCCAATTGAGCATCGAAGATATCATCTGATACGTTGTAATTTGGTGATGTTATATAACCGAAGTAGTGGAAGTATTTCTTGATCTCCGACATGCCACTGACATGGCTGCCTCTCCAGGAATTGAGGAACCTATTGTAGTAATTGACAGTTGATTCAGTTAGTTGCTTAAATGGAAACTCGGGTACTGGTCTTGCCGCCATGTAGGGTGGCAAGTTGTGAAGAAAGAAGATGAGGAGAAGGGAGAGAGGGTGATTGGATGGTAGAAGCATGATGGGGGAGGCCGGTGGAGATTTTTGGAGTGTAGGCGTGGGAAGCGCTGTTATAAAGAAAGAATCAAATTTGTAATTATGAGGTGGTTAGTAAATAATTAGAAATTTTAAAAGCATTATAGAAGCATGATTTATCTTTTCTGTTGTTTTTTGGATAATGGATATAGATAGATTCATAATTACAGTATGTATTACGTTGTTGAAGTGAAATAATGGGAACTTTGGAAAAATGTTCCTCAATCTTTAGTGGATTCTAACCTTTAAAGGCATGACAAGTAAGCAATATATTTTCTATTTTTTGCAGACAAATTTCAATTACTGAAATTGTTGAAGTAACCGCTTTAAGGACTAATTACATTGTTAAAGTAAATGTAGACAATGTTAATTTTTAATATGATATATTTATATAACTTGAAAGTAATATGATTTAAAATTTTATTGAGTTTGATAAAAATAAAAATTATTTCATATTTAATTTGATGATACAAATTTAGTATAATAATTTTTATGTTTGATATAATACGAATATATAAATTATTAAATTTAAATAAATTATTGCCTTTATTCTATTGCTTAAATTACAATTGAACTCATGATTAAGTGTGTGTCTAAAATGTCAAATTCAAGGAATTAAAATCTATTCTTAGTTTTTACTCAATTGCTTTAAACTTTTTTTTTTTTTGGTACAAACTTGAGTGATTCTTAATAAATAATAATTAATGGTATATAAGTTCCTCGTGAAGGATGATAAAGACAAAAGGATTTTGGATCAAACTTTGAAATTGCATTAGAATGAGTGGCGGAAGATGGAGCCGAAACACAATCGAAAGGATTGTGGCAAAGGGTAGGGCCGAGGTGGGGGGCATGTCAGGCCTACCAAATTTTAGTTGTAGTTTTGTTTTCTCTTGAAGGTGAGGAAGAGGCCACAGTTTGAAGCGACTGTGACTGGTCGTTAGGATTTATCATTGTTGCTGGTGTTATCAGTCACAGTGTAGACTTGCGGACGACTCAATCTGTTGTCAACTCTGAGAAGCTCATGAAAATACTGCTCTGCTCTCGCTGCTTTTGAACGTGTAAAAGACTCAATCTTCGGTACATCTCCCTTGAAAAGTAATGGAACTATGCCTAAACTACCATTTTAGGCAACTACTGTACATTTGGTTGCTTGCTGATCATTCCAAATTTTCGTCTCAATATTCCAGGAAAGTGACATTACCCCAAATTCAACCAGCCTTTAGCTTCAGCAAAATCCATACATGTATGACAACAAGGAGAAATTGAGTTGGAATTACGATAATCAAAATGGAGTTGAATCGCTTTAACTTATGTATAGCAAAATAGCTTACGGTCTACGTAACATTACTATTTTTTGCTCATACAAGTTAGGCTTAAGTTGTATGAGAAAAGGATACCTCATATATAACAAAAAGACAGGAAGATATGATCTATATAGAGCAAGGAAGCTGGAGTCGAAATTTTATCTTGGGCCTTCAAATTTTCTCTTTGTTTTTAAGAGGGATACAGGACAGCCAATGACACCACCGCTCAATTATTATTGGGCCAAGGCCCATTAAGTAGGAGGAAGGTAACAAGCCCTTCAGAAGTCAGGGTTTGCACCGTGGAATTAATGCCCAGCTCAAGTTAATTAGACCAAGAAGTCCTCCGGTTTCTTCGATCCGAAACAACTTCAAAGCTAAACTGCAGAGTGAAGAAGCTCTGCCCATAAGATTTTCTGGGTTTTCATCAGTTTTGGGATAGTTAGAATCTTGATTTTATAGCTAGATCAAAGTAGTAATAGATTGGTAGCCCCGGGTGATGAAACTTTCAGCAGACAATCTGATAGCCAAACAAATACAACAATAGGGGGAACCTTCTTTTAATCGTGATCAAAGTCTGGATCGTGTGTAACAAACTTCTATTTATGGTGAAATAAAGAACTGGCCCTGATTTGAAATTATTGGTCTAAAAATATCTATAACAAAAAAAAAAAAGAAAACAAAAAGGGAGATGGAGAGAAAAAGTGCTGAAATAATTGAGGCATTCCCTTCACAAGTGACGCTGGGTCCATACAATGCTTAAATCCAGTTGTACAAATAAATCAGGAGAAAGGCTCTTTTATGAGTTCTCAGAGACAGAGAAAGGGCCATTCTTGACTCAGCCCCAGTCAGCTTTGATTGAAAATCTATAGCTGGGCCCATTTCTCTCTTCCTTTTATCCTTTTCTTTTACTATCTCGATTCTGAATGCATGACTACCATCCCCTTCCACCTTTCATCCTATTCTCCTTTTCTTTTGAGTGAAAGGTCTCATTCACCTTCCCCTTTATATCAAATTTCATCAGTTTGAGCAGGATTGCTTAGCTCATTGGGATATCAGAAAGTTACTTACCCTTCTTCCCCACTATCCATAATTTTTGTTTTTGTTTGAGGTCCAGATTTCCCTACCAGTTAAATTAACTGTAGAATTTACTGCTCAACAGTATTAGCTAGGGATAAGACAGTTATGTTCTGATCAGGACAAGGATTCCTTGTTTGAAGAAGTATAGAGTGTGTCAATAAGTATTTATTTATTTCAATGCTTTTGATATCAGCTGGGACTGTGTTTATTCCTTGGGATCCAACGCTTTCATAAAGAGAGAATGTTCCTTTTACAGACTTAAATTTTGATGACCGGAGTATTCCAACGGTCCCCCTCTTGTAACACCCAAAACAAGAAACAAACATATATATATATATATATATGTGATATAAGACTCTCAATATTTTATAGTCATATTAAATTTTTGAATAATTTAGATTCAGATTAAATTTTATAAAAAGATAAATTATTTTATTTTATTTTTTTATAAAATTTAAAATCAAAATCTTAATTAAAAAAAATCAAATTTTTTGTCACTCAAATCAATAAATATATATATAATATATGAAAAATGGTCTCCTTCTCTCCCAATCCCGTATCCTTCTTTTTTACCTTCTCTGTTGTAAACCTTCAGTGTGTTTCATTAAAATAAACAATATGGTCTCAGGCTTCTTATGGTTCCCTAACTCCGTTGAAGTACGGGGGTATAGAATTTGGAAAATTGGATCGTCAATCAAAGTTTGTTTACATGCACGTGTCAAACACCCACTTTACAGGAACTCTTTTGTTTCATTCTACTAAATTTTCTTCAATTATATTTTACTATTAGTACCTTATACAGGAGTCAATGTTTTCCATCGCCTGCTGTAACAGTGCAACCCAAGTTGGACCATGATGTCCGAACACGTTGTTAGACCTAAGGTCATTAATTGTTTTGGGTCTCACAACTTTGGATACCCCGATGCTTCAGTTTTTAACTATGGTAAAATCTTTATGCCAAACCTGATGGGGTCGGCAGCAACAGCCCAACAGCCAACAGTGGAACGAACGATAGCTTTTGTTTAGGTTTAAAAGAATCATAAGAAGATTAAAAAGCCGATGGCAAAGAGCCCAAGTCTCCCGAGTCCTGATTTGCTAAAAATAAGGATTGGATTGGATTAACGAGACAGCCTGTGTATGTATTCTCTGATATTGACAATTGCCCATCAGTGTCAGGCAGCTCGTAGTAGGAATAATATTTTTACTTTCTTAATAATCCAAAGCAGAGAATTTTTACTTTCTTAATAATCCAAAGCAGAGAAACTGCAAAAAGGCTTTGAATTTCCATCCCAGGAATGACAATGGAGTGTTGAGAACCGTGGTGAACGTCCCCCTTTACAGCGTGTAAACAGTCGAGAAAAGGCGCGTGGGGGCTGAATTGTTTCAGTAGTGCTGGCCTAACTGATCATATTCTGATGCGATCTGTCAAAAAATGGACACAATGGAGTATTTATAAAGTTACTATCACTGTTTGGCTTGAACTTCAAATCACATGGCACGACACTGAGTTCGTTTAATTTTTATGTGCAAAAATGTGTAGATTACGATTCCTAAATAGTTACTACATGTAAAGATTTTAGTTTTAATTTTTAAAACTTTGAAATATGAAATTAACATTAACTTTTTTTATTAAATTAAATAACATCTTAACCACTCAAAAAATTAGACTTTTTTTGTACAAAAAACAAAATATTTGAATATGAGAATATTAAACCCATATATATATTTTGTCTTTTTTTTTTTTTTTAAAGCTAAGGGAAACAAATGTTGATTTGAGAAACCAAAAAATAAATATTAATATGGCCAGAAAAAGGGGAAATTGGGGGAGCGTCAATCGATTCCATGCAGATTTTGCACCTATTCTCGGAATAAACGAGTCTGACATCCAATCGAAGCTCGGTTCGGGTGACGCATTGAGTTCCCTTTGGAAGTGTATTACACGTTCCTTGACTGCTTCTACAAATTCACTTCTACAATTACTTACATATATATATATGTATATATATATATATATATAACAAAAAAAATTGTAAAGGCGGTGGTTTTCTTTCTTGCTGCTTATCAGCATTCTGAACCAAAAATAAATTAGAAAAACAAAAGGGGGAGTGATTTATCTGATCTTCTTCAGTCTTCTCAGTTATCAACCTCTCTCTCTCTCTCTCACTTGTTACCGCCTCGGCATCTGATTCTTCGTATCAAAGTAATCAGTTCAGTTTTAGCCCACTTGGATTGGCCCACCTTCACTCTTCCCACGTGCCTCTCTCCCCTTCCTAAAACTCACAGCTTTTCTCTTTCTCGAGCTCCTATTCACTTCCCCATTGGGATATAATAGAATAACGAAGAGCCTAACCCCACATTCATATTCTCTTACTATTATTATCTCTTTCTTTCTCTATTTTTTTTAAAACTTTTTTGTTTTTGGTTTTTAAATAAATATCCTCTTTTCTGTAAAACAATCAAAGGATGCTTCAGTCCTCTCTGTGTAGGCAAAACCGGCAAAGGTAAGCAAAAAAAAAAAAAAAAAGTATCCCAAACCCAAAGCTATCCACCGTTATCGCTTAATTTTAATAAACAGATATATAGGCAAAGGCACTACGGAGTACGGACACTGCTAACTTCAACTGCAAGTTAAAAGACAGATTATGGAAAATGGCGGAGACATGTTCAT